TCCTTCTCTATGTTCTGTTACATTTTACTCTTCTTTTACTGTGTTTAACTCTGATGCTGTATAGAATGATTCAAATCCTACGCTTAGAATATTCTTCTTAATGTCATCATTATTTCCTTGTCCTAAGTAAATACTTTCTATAAGTTTGTATTTAGGTTCTGGATACTTGTCTTGCAACGTTTCTAACTCTAAATTATCAAAATCGTACATTATTTAATCTAGAATTTCATCTTCTAATCTATCATAAAGGACATTTATCTCTTCAGGAGAATCTATTTCTATCAGTGTAGTTAAAAAATCTTCATGGGTATCATCTACTAAATTATCTTGTCTTTTATAATTACTAAACCTTATGCTAGCTTCTCCGCTATTTGAAACATATATCATATTATTTTTGGGAATCTTTTTAGGTGTAGTAGTAAGTTTAGGTAATTTTCATTCTGTTCTTTCATGGGTAATACTACTTACTTTTCTAGTTTCTATCATCTGGACATATTTGCTACTAAATGGTTTAACTATTTCACTAAATTGGGCTTTAAATTTTAAGTTATACTGATAACTGTTTTTCCCATAAATAAAGTATTAACTAATAGATTTTTAAATTGTCCTGTCATATTGTATCATTTTGTAGATATAGCTATCTTAATATGTTTACTGAATTCTCTAATATTCATCGTGTAATTGGGAATACATCCTACTATTGCTGCATTGTCAGCTAAATCTATTTCGGCACTGGCTATTTGTGCTTATTGATGTTTATTCCGTTTGTCATCGTAACTATAAGCAAGTGCTCTAGTTCCCATTTCTGTTATGTTTAATCCTACTAGTCCTATCATTATGACGCCTAAATGCATGAGGTCTAAATTATTATCATTTAATTCTTGACATGCTTCGGGTGTTACAAGGTCTATTTTTCGTTGGCTAAAATGATTATATATCTTGTTCTGGAAGTCTAATAAATTATTGGAATAAAGATTAACATTATTTTTTACCTTCTTCATTCCTTATTTTATATATTTTTTAGCATCATATTCATTATCATATAAATCTTCTACTCTCATTATTTCTTTGGCTTTTCTAAGGATAATGGCCATTGTGGTATTCGCTTATGAGGTTAAGGTTGTAGTAAATTTACACGCTTGGTTGTTGCAGGGAAGGACTGATTATTGGTCGACAACTTAATTTTCTTTATTTTTTCTGATAATTCGGATAATTCTTTAGAAGATTCTCTGGAAATACTTTCTTGTATCACTTCTAATTTCTCTTCAAGTTTATTAACTTTATCAGATAACTGGAGTAATAACTGGATTAAAAAGTTATTTTGTCTAATATGTATATTGGTTGATTGTACGTCTGCTTTAAAACTTGTAAATTTTATGGGTTCTTTATCAATTTTGTAAAGTTCAGCTAACGCAGTTAAATAATCAGGACTACTAGTGCTCATAAAACTATTGTAATAACCTTTGGATATCGGTTTTAAGGGATTTTAAATAGTATTATTTTTTGATTTTCAACAATATCTTTAATTGCGACTAATATTATCTTGTTATCTAAATTATTTAGACTAGAATTCTGTACTACTTGTTCTTTAATATAAAAGTATATAAGTTATTAAAATCGAGTCTATTCATAAACTAAAATATTTGTCGTCTAGCTTCTAAAATATTTTGTATTCTTATAATTTTAGATCTGAGTTCTTTGATTCTTCTTTGTAGATTACGCGCTGTGTCTCCTAATTCTAGTGTTATGTAGCAGTTTCTAAGTGCGATTTGACAAAATTCTAAGGGCCCGTTTGGCATGCGTTTTACTTTAGGCGTTTTGTTTTTGGCTAAAACAGAAATAACGTTTTTACTATTAGAGTGTTTTGGCAAAAATCGGAAGCACGTTTGGGAACGATGTTTTGCTGTAGAAATGTCGGAAACAAAAATATGCAAAACACGTTTGGTAAGTCATGCGTTTCAAGAATTTTAAAAACAAAACATGTTTGGTAACTCCAACTGTTGTAAACAAAATAAAACAGAAATAAAAAATATGTTTGGTTATCATTGTTTTTAATTTATTTTTATAAATTTTAAATTTATTTCTATATAAATAGTCTATATATTTTTAATAAATTTATTGAAATTTGAACACACAAACATATATATATATATATATATATATATATATATATATATATATAACCAAAGTGTAATTACAGAAGCAACTGCTTTAGCGAAAATGTAGAATGTTAGTTCTAATAATTGAACCAATAATTTCAACCATTTTGCATGTTATCTTGATCTGAAACTACACTTCAAGTTATTTGAAATTTCTTGGTATAGTTTGTTCCTTTGGTGATGATTGTCCATAGGTTTGTATTTCATTCATTTTGCTCATTTTTCGCATTAGCGAAAGAAGAAAAAAAAATACTACACAGCTCTGATAATAATTTTCGACTCTTGTAAGTCTGCACTGGTGGGAATTTAACTCCAAAATACAGATTCTTGCCTTCTCTTTTGTAAAAAAATGTAAACCCCCACCAAATTATATATATATTAATTTTTGCAATAACATGTTTACAAGTTATTTGCAATAACCTACTTCAAATTTATTATCATTATACCTGTATAGTCCAATTCAATATTAAAAATAAATAATCTCTAGTCACATTTTACTATACTACATGAGAGTCAACATTTGTAAAAAAATTTGCAATAACCTATTTACAAGCTCTTTGCAATAACCCGCTTCAATTTTATTATCATTATACCTGTATAGTCCAACTCAATATTAAAAATAAATAATCTCTAGTCACATTTTATTATACTACATGAGAGTCAACATTTGTAAAAAAAATTTGCAATAACCTATTTATAAGTTCTTTGCAATAACCTGCTTCAATTTTATTATCCTGATACCTGTATAGTCCAACACAATATTAAAAGAAAAACAAACTCAATTGAAAGCATAATTGAAATAGAGTGTATAACATTTACAAGTCCTGAAATATTCAACCAACAAATTAAACACGTTTAAGTTGTACATAAAATGTTTGGAACAAAGCATTAACAATACGTAGTTGTCACTAAAAATTAATAAGAAGTTCATAAAGTGGATAACAATGGCAGCGACACATCATCTTCATAACAGCACATGTGGCCTTCAAGAGAGCATCAACACACTTCATATCTGCAATAATAGCATTTAAGTTGAATTATATATCTGCAAAAAATATTTATATTACATATATATATTGCAAGCTCACAATAGCAACAAATATATTACATATAAAAGAAAAAATATACCATCACCTTCAGAAGGATCAAGAGTGCTGAAGAGAATTCCAAATCTGATCAGCAATAGTATTACGCAATTGATCCATTTCTCAAAGCTGAGCCGAAGGCACATGCTCAACAATCTCATCATCTTCACCATCACTTTGAGGAGGATCATTACCATCAAATATGTCATCAGGCTGATGCTGATTTTTGATAAAATCATGTAATGTGCGACAAGGCATTACAATCAATACTTGTGTTGAAAACTTATAAGGAGGCATTGCCCTCAAAATAACGAATCTCATCTTCAATAACCTAAAGCATCGCTCAATTATATTTCTCAAAGATGAATGCCTATGATTGAACACTTCCCACGAGGTTGTCTAGTCCTACGGTATTCCTGAAAGTGGTAAGTATGACCTCGAAATGGGGCCAAATAACCAGGCTTATTGGCATACCCTGAGTCCACCAAATAATACTTACCTGCCATGTTTAGAATACATAAAGATATATACAGTATGATAAACTAACCATATATTAAGTGAATTTATAAAAAAATATTACCTGCTGGTGGAGCTGGAAAGTTTATTGCCTCATTTTCAGTACACTCATTTAGGATTCTCGAATCATTAGCTGAGCCTTCCCACCCAGCTAGCACATATGTGAACCTCATGTCAAAGTCACATACAGCCATTACATTTTGTGTGGTATAACCCTTTCTACCACGAAATGGAAGTTGTGTACTTGCTGGCAGAGTTGCAGGAATGTGGGTTCCATCTATAGCTCCCACACAATGCCTGAAGTAAGGGTAAAACCTAGAAGACTCTCTAATCTTATTCGGAATCACAGAAAAATTAGGAGGGGTAATGATATGGGTGCCCAACTGACATACTGCAAGCAACACAGCATGAAAGTGTCTAGAAATGGTTTCAGTGGAGTGTTGAAATCTCTCTGCTACAACACGATTCCTTTGATTATGAGATAAAGTGAGCAAAAAGATTGCCACTTGTTCATAAACAGTTAAAAATTTAGAATCCTTCAGCCCTATACCTTTCAGGGTACTACACAATATTCTAAAAACTTCAGGGTACATCCTAAAATTTTCATAACATCTTTCTTTATGGCCGTTTAAAATCTCCATAACATATGTTTCCCCTTGTAAAATGGAATCCCTACAACGCCTCTTTTGATAGAAGTTCTGCTCTTCTAAAAGAGCAGCAAATATTAAGACACTCTCATTATCCTCCTCATCGTCAGATAATTGAATTATTCTTCTTATATTGTTCCACACATCCATTGCCCTATTTAAAGATTTAATACAAGTAAAGCATTTAAGTTAATAAGCAAATCAATTAAATAATAAACAAAACATTTAAATAATAAAACAAACATTTAAATAATGGTATTAAAGTATTTGAGTACTAACAGGCATCCAAGAAATAGAAGTATTTAAGTTATTATCGCCATCCAAATGTGAGATAATAAAAGTATTTAAGTTATTACAGCAATCCAGATGTGAGATAATAAAAATATTTAAGTTATTACAGTAATCCAAATGTGAGACAATAAAAGTATTTAAGTTATTACAGTTATCCAGATGTGAGATAATAAAAATATTTAAGTTGTTACAGTCATCCAAATGTGAGATAATAAAAGTATTTAAGTTATTACAGTCATCCAAATGTGAGATAGTAATAAGTTAAACGATGACACAAAACACAATCATCCATAAAGAAAAACTCAAACATTCAGTGCCCAACCAATTCTTATATCCTCAGGTGCCGAAAGAAAAAATTTCTGCCACTTCTCAGAATCATGTAATAACTTCGATACCTTAGCGAATTGGGCCATCTCAATTCCAGGTATTTTTTGTAAAAGGATCATGGAGGCGTCAAACATTTCATAATCTCTATCCTTTTTTGAGGGAGAGAGAACTTCATCATCTCCTTTCTCACATGAAGATACACGAGTAGAAGTAGAAGATACTTTAGCTGCTTTCTCTATTGCAGTTTCCATTCTCTCAGCTCTCCTCTCAGAATTCTCATTCATGTTTGACAAGAGTGCAGCTATACCAGGAGATAAAGCATCTCTTTTGGCTTTCTTACCTTTACGTAAAGGTGGGGGACTGACCTCACAACCCTCTTCCTCATCATCATCATCATTGGGAGTGGGCAAAATGATTGTGGGTGGTGCTGTAGTGGATGGGTTGGCATGCATCCCTCTTGCATATGTGTCCCCAAATATAGTCGACATCTTGTCAAAATGATTACATTCATACTTTTTATACTTATTTGCATTCGTAACAACCTACAAATTTTGTTACAATATTAACCACATAACCAATAATATACAAGATTTTATTATTTATTTATGACTAATAATTAAATTACTAACCTTGCACAACCTGTCCCATCTCTCTTCCTCAACTATAACCATGCCTGTCTCATGGTTATATCCCACGCCAGTCTCCGATAATAATTTCTTAAACTCAGTATAAATTTTCCTCAAACCATTAAACTTATTCTGAAGTTGGGTTAAACCAAATTTTCTCCCCGTGTGAACATTCATTTGTTTGACTAAATTACTCCAACCACTTTTACTAAATGTTGTGCCACTACGATTGTTAACCTTAACTTCTTCCACCATAATATTCACGAATTTTTCAATGAGTGACTCATCCCATAACAATTTTCCATTGTTCGTAACTTCAGCCACTTCTTCAATTGTGAGAGAATCACCGCATTGTTCCACATTCTCAATATTTATATCCATCTAATATATTAATAACAACACAATAATTAATAACAAAAAAAAAATAATAGTACACATACGTGAGAGGAGAAAGGAAGCACTCTTACTCACAAAATTTCACTAATAATTTTGGGTGAGATTTGTCTAAACTCAAAGGAGTTTCAATGATATTGTAATCCAAACTTAGGGGTGTATGTGAAATTCGCCCTAAAATGTTAGTACTTTGACATTTGAGACAGGTTTGTCATGTATGTCACTGTGGTAAACAAACAAGTAGTATTAAAGAATGATCAATTGATAGGTTAAACCACAGAGGCCTCTGCTTTCTTTGGAGATTGGTATTTCCCAAAATAATATGTTTTTCCAAACTACAGGGAATTATATAAATTATGTGTGTTGCATTCAACCATTTTATGAAATATAGGTCAAACAAAAGAATGAAATTGACATTTCAAAGAACCTCTTTCTAAAAGAAGAAAAATAACTTTGTCCAAGTCAAAAACAAGTCTGTTATTCTACCACAGACACTATTACCCACAATATAATCATTTGTACATGTTAAAATTTGTATGTAAAGGTTAGGGAGTACAAGTCTGTTCAAACTCTTTTCCTTCATTGCATGGGAATCAATTGGATGTTTCTAAGGAACAAGACACCTTTTATACATTTGCTAGATAGAGCTTATGATTTTAGGTTTTACTTAGTTCCTAGGAAACATACATATAGTTAATATGGCATAAGTGCTGGAAAGCCCTACGAGAAGTTCACACATTTAATAAAGAATATTGAATCAAAATATAAAAAATAAAAAACAAGAAGAGAAAGGAGAAATTGGTGATAAATATTACAATATTAGGTATTTTACTAAAGGGAAATATGGTCATTTCATTCTAATAGCAATTGTATATATATACACATACGTGAGAGAAGAAGGGAAGCACTCTTACTCACAAAATTTCACTAATAATTGTGTTTTCTTATTCTAGAAATCATAAATTCAATAAGAGTAAAAGATACAGATATTCTTCTGAACTTATGCATGTATATTTAAAAGTATGGGAAATGACATAATGATAAAGACTGAACCAGAAAAGGTGGGTGTGCATAAGAAGCTTACCTCTTTTTGGTGCTGTGAATCTAATGAGAAGAAAAGCTACCAACTCAACAAGAGATATCAAACTCCAGTTCAGTAAAGCAGCTGCAAGAAGGAAGGGTGGAAGAGGTAAAAACAATTATTATTCCAGTTAAAAAGAATGATAAAAATGTAACTAAATATTTAAATATATATCTATAATGCATTGATTATGTTTAATGTTTCAACATGCTACTGCTTATCATAAACATGAATTAGGCATAATCATAGTGACAAAAAAAATAAAAGAGAATGACTTTGAGAGCCTAACTACAAATAGCCACTAAAGAAAGAATTGCAGTAATAATCTCCGGTGACATGCGTAGGGGAAAATGACAAGGAAATTCATATTTTAACTACTTTATAGCCACGTTAGAGACACAATACTTGCATGTCAAACACCTAAATGAAACGCCAATTTCCAATTAATTTGCTTCAGGGTCAACATGTGAGAAACCTTAAGTTAACCCAACAATAGATTCCTAAGTCTCTTGGTATATCCATTGTCGTACATATAATATTTAACATTTGCTCTTGTCCATTACAGAGCACGATCTGAATCAACTAATGTGGATGCTAACTGGACTAATTTCTATTCCCCACAATTAATATCCATCGTCTTGCCTTTTACTCCTTCCTCAGTTTATATAGTTTCAAAGTTTGCTTTGGTACTCCTCCCCTCATCTAGAAAACCTGTTTCACTTTGGCAGTTAAAAGGATTTTCGAAAGGATATATATTCAATACCATTGGTTTTATTTATTCTCCTTTCCATCAGATCACTTGACTGAAATTACATAATAATTCCCCTCTCAACAGAAAAGATATTCAGGATTCAGAATTGAAAAGGTAGGACAATAAAACCAGACAAGATCACAGTCATGTTTACAACCTTGTATTCATAAACACTTAGAGTTGATTAATGTTTTGTTCCCGTTTTCAATTAGTACCAGTAAAGTATCATCATGATTCGATTTGAATCCATGATTAAAATATGGTGGGGGGGGGTGGAAGTTAGCTTCTATAACAAGTAGATACGAGTGACATGAGCTAACCAGTATTTATGCTAAAATAGGGAACAAATTATCCTTAGATGCCTCTTAATCTTGCTCCTAGATTTACTGTGGTTTGATTAATATATTGAACCTAACACTCTTGACTGGCATTTTAATGATTTAAAACATTTGTTGCATATGCTTATATAAGGTATTCAAGATTAAAGACAGTACATAACATACGAATTCATATTCATATATAAGAAAAAGTTCAACACTTAGAAATTAAATTACCAGAAGCGGCTTTGCCCTCAGAGATTGAAGTAGACTTGAGTTGGTCTGAGACTTTATCAGCTTCCTTTGAATTTGCCTCTAAAACATGAATAGAAAAACAAAGTATACAAATTATTTTATATATCAAGATATATATATATATATATATATATATATATATATATATATATATATATATATGTATACATATGAATAATTGTGTCAGATTTACGATTAGGGTTTAGGAGGTTGTGGATGACCTTTGGGAAGATCAGGGTAAAGGTCGGGTACATTCAAAATCTGGTCCAAACTCACAGTACTCTACAGGTAAACAGCACATCCCGCAGTACAAGAAGCGGGCTGGTTGGGGTTTCTCCGCCATTTCAAATCTCTCTCTATATATATCTATATATCTGTTTTTCTATCTAGATCGAAGCCCTTCTTTCTCTCTCTCTCTCTCTATATATATATATATCTAATAATCGTTATCGGCAAGAGTATTGAAGAAAAAAATGGGAAAGAACGCATACCTTGCCTTGCAGAGGTAGATCTCGGGCTACTGCTCTTACAGTCAATATCGTGTTTTCATCGCCTCCCAAATCGCCGTCTAGGGTTTCAAAGGAGAGAGATTGTAGTCGGGCCAAATGTTGCAAACTTTTACTTCCTCCCCTACAATTTTCATTGTAACTTACTTCCTCCGCTACAGTGGTTTTGTTGGGCCAACAGTATTGAAACAACAAAAAACACCATTTTGGTGTTTCACTTTTGGGCCTAAATTTTGAAAATATTTTAGCACTGTTTAAATCAAAACAATAGCTACCAAACATGTTTTTGGGCCTGAAATGAAGCTTTGCAACAGAAACACCAAAACAAAACAGCTACCAAACGGGCCCTAAGACTTAAACAAGTTGTTATTTGGGTAAATTGTGCATAAAGTAAACTTCTAGGGGTGAAAATATAATTTTAACTTACTAAAGGGGTCAAATAAAGTGCCTTGACTTTTAGTTCATGTTCTCGTAAATATGCAAACTATGTTCATGTAATGGTAATATACCTATGCTAAGACCACTTATACGTAATTTAATTTTCCCTTAATAAAATAGTATAGCATATATGGTATAAAATCTATACTTGGCCCCCCTAATAATTTTCTTTTTTCTTTCTTTAATTAGCATTTAACAAAAAATAGTTTATATATAATCTAAAAGAAAGTGATTTTATTGACGATTATAAAATCTGATAAAAATTTAATGTGACTATCTTAAAATTTCAACTCAAACACCATTCTTTCCATAATGTGACTATTTTAAAATCCTTCCAACTCAAGCATGATTTTTTCCATAACCTTATTATCCTAAAATTTCATCTCATACATGATTCGTTCCATCACTTTTTTATTTATTTATTTATTTATTTTATTTTATTTTGTTTATATTGGAATGCTTTTATAAAGATTCTATAAGAAATTAATTTTTATAAAATTTAGAACAAAAATTTCATTTGAAATTTTGAATATCAACAAAAATGGATGATTTAAGAATCTAAATTCTTATTTTATTAATTTGTTTGTGTTTTTTTTTATCATTGTTATTGTTTTGTTAAATTTTCAATTTTTTTTTTAAAATTATTTTTGTTTTTTTTTCTTTTCGGTAAATAAAGAAAGTTATTTAATTAATTTTTTTATATTTATAATTTTGGCATAAATCTTATTTGTGTTTGTTCAGAAAGTTTGATAAAAAATTTATTTAAATAACTAGTGTGTTTTTTAAGTTTAGATAGATATATTTTTGTATGAATATAATAAATAGTAAAATATTTTTGCCTACGTAATATATATATATATATATTTCAAAAGTTCTAGCTAGGTAATGTTGTTTATAATTTTGGCACCCCCAACCTCAAGATCCTGGCTCCGCCCCTGCTCGGGGTGCTCCCTTGGACGCTTTCTGGGCCTAACGCTTGTCATGACATTGGATCAAGGACTGGGTTTGATTCTGATACCAATTGTAACCGGTGGAGGTTTGCCTATTTACTTAAAAACTCAAACTGAGTAGTAGTACATATCCACTCATTTATACCCAATCACTCTCCATCACCGCAATTTCACAATTATTGTCAATTTTTTATGCTTTTTTTTTTTTTTTTTTCATTGTCCAAACTTGTGTTCACATCAACTCATTTGAGAGATATGTTAAAAAATAAAAATAAAAACATTTGAGACCGACAATTTTATTTACCAAAAATAATACAATCTTTTAAAAATAACTCAACAGTTGGGATCCACGTCCGCCCTTTTCTCTCTGTACACTCCATTTTGTCGCTCTGGCGAAAACAATACAGCAACTGAAACCATACCACAACAACCATCAACGGTCGGTTTAGGAAAAGCAGAGAGAGAGAGAGTAGCATAGCGCATTGCAGAGATAGAAAGATATAGAGAGGGAGTGAAAGGGACTTCTCTTCCGATATTTTCTCAATTCTTGAAGCAAAGTAGCAAACGATGACGTCCACTCACATCTGTTGCTTCAGATCTCTTCTTCTTCGATCATGCTAGGGTTTCGTCTTTTGTATTTATGACGACGATGTCCTAGAGAGAGACACAAATACAGACACCACTATACATTCAGGTTCTTTCTTGATCTACATTCAGGTTCTTTCTTGATCGACGCAATAACTCTTCATTTCCAGTCTCTCTCTCTCTTCAATTCCAAATGTATTATCTGTTTATTGTTCACTGATTCGCGTTGTCACTGTTCGACATTTTGCAGTTTAGAATCAATTTCGCAACAATATGGTGGTTTCTGGACCTATAACACCAGGACAGGTATCGTTGTTTTTCACAATCACTGTGTGTGTGATTAGGTTTCTCTGATCATTTTGATTCAATGCTGAGAGAATCACTTGTTTGGTCACCAATTGATCTGGCTGTGTTCATAATACTATAATAGTAATTGGCCCTAAAAATTAGGCTAATTTCTAGTTTGTAATTATTGAAATCGGGATTGATTTGGTGATGATTGCATTTTCTTCTTTTATGATTTTGATGGGGAAGAATGGTAACAGTAGAAGAACTTCTTGTATTCTCACGCATTATGTGCGTGTGTAAGTATATATGCATTTGAACATTTGAAGTATTCTCTCCTGAAGTTATGTATTCGTTGCTGCTTGAAGTTCAGAAATGCAAAAAAGAAATCCAATTTACTAGTTCACTTTGTTATTTATATTCTTGAGTAAATATCATCACATACGCAGGGTGTAGTCAACTCAACTTGTTTGAGTGAGTAAAACAAGGTGATTGCTCTAGCTTTCTGTCAAAGTCTTATGACAAATAAGTTAATTATATGTGTAACTTAGAGAATTGAATCCATTTGTTATAGTGCCAATTTTCTAAATATATTATACTGTTTATACGAGCCCTTTCATGAAAATTTTCACTTTAACACATTGCGCGAGGGTGATGGATAACGGAGTATCTTTGACTCTTGCTTTTTCTTTATCCGGTAGATGATCCAAAAAATGAAAAGAAACACGTATGGAAGCTATAATTGTAAACCATGAGGTCGACGATCAAATCTATGGAAGTATTGGTTTATACATTCCTCTTAGTCTCGACTCTAGGGATAATTTTTTGCCATCTTTTTTCGAGAACCACCTAAAGTTCCAACTAAAAAGAAGAAATGATTTTTCATTATCTCAATTAAAGTAATGGGCCTCCCAATATTGGGAGGCTCATTACTTCAACTATTCCCCATGTTCCTTGAATGGATCTCTTAGTTGTTGGGAAGGTTGCCCAAAAGCGGTATATAAAGCGTAACCAGTAAAACTTACAAGTAAACCAGATATAAAGATGGCAACTAGGGTTGCTGTTTCCATTATTTTATAATTTCAAGACCAAAACAGTAGCTGATGCCTAACATTGGCCTAAACATAAATTTAATTCTTTTTTCCTTTCTTTTTGTTTTCTTCTTTTGTGTGTGTGTGTGTGTGTGATAGATGGTAAAACGTTTTCAACTAAGGTACTGATTACAACATCTCAGCAGGAAAAGTTGTTTCTAGATATAATAATCCACTAATTTTACTATCTACTAATATTTCATGCACAGGCATAAGATATCAAGAAAATACATAAATGTTTGAATCAAGGAACAATATTTGATCTTAGCCAATAATGGAATCATCATTCAGATACCTAAAAATTTAGCTTATAGCTATACATTATTCACTCCTTAGCTCAGATCCTAACCCTGTTGTGTGGAGTAATTTAATATTCAGTCTGCAATTCTTCCAGATAGATACGTTCTAATTGAAGAATTTTGTTTGTGCTGGAAAGAACTCTTTATGGAATTTGGTACAAGTTAGTGACATTTGATAATGCAAACATAACACCGACAGTGATGGATTTGTTTGGCCACCCTATTTTTGTCAGTCCTTGCACCTGGGAAATGGTTGCATGAATTTTAATCCTGTAACAGTATCTCCCATTGAAACCATGGGATGAGGGAAGTATTATAAAGTATAAACATTTCTTCATGCACTTTTAATTGAAAAAAGAAAAGAAAAAGACAAGTGTTCTTAAGTCCTAACTTACATTAGATTTAATGGTTGAGTTTCTATCATGATGTCCGATACTTTAACGGGGGGAAAGGCACATTTGAGTTTTTTTTTGGACAAGTAACGATGCATTTGAGTTCTATTTGCTCATTATAATGCATTGTTATATTGGGATTAGCTTTTAACTAATATATATGAGGAAACAGATATGTTTATGCCTTTAGCTGTTATTTTGGGCCCAATGACAATCAATTTAGCTGCATGTTCTGTTTCATGTTTTTTTTTTTAAAATATTTTTCCTTCGAGTTTCTCTGTACTGTTTCTCTTCCAAATAATTTCGCCTGGCATATTAAATAAAGGCTTTTCTTATTATGTCTCAGGTGTCTTTCTTGCTTGGATTTATCCCTATTTTCATTGCATGGATATATTCGGAGTTGTTAGAATATAAGAAGCCTCCATCTCCATCTAAAGTGTAAGTTTCATTTTTCAACAACGAGAACTATGGACTGATTGGTTAGGCTGTTTTTAATCTTTGGTGGTAACTTGTGACCTCTCTCTCTCTCTCTCTATATATATATATATATTATATTATATATATAGAAATGTTTATACATATATATATATACTGTATCTCTCTCTTTCTTCCTCTACCCTTCTTTCTTTTTCTTTGTTGTTTTTCCTCCTATCATTTTTCCCGAATTCCTCTCGATAGTAAGAATTTTATAACAAAAAACTCAAACACAAAACCTCTCACTTATCCTCATAATGCAAAAAGATGAACTCATCTGCAGCAAGTTAATTCAAAATTCACTTGCATGTGCATTAGGTGGTTTATTTAATTATAGAATATCAGGTTTGACACATGAACTTATGGAAGTGCTGTTTTTATTTCATTACTTTGTGTTAATATATGCAATTCAATTTGAGTATCCATTTTTTTATTTTTATTTTTTTTTAATAAACATGGTGGGAGTTTGGAAACATTGGCTTTCATATAAGGGGAAGGATTTGAAATAGAATGCAACTGAACTGGAGAGAGTAAGACTAACTTGTGGTGGATCAAACACCTAGTATAGCATCTGACTAGTCCAAATAACAGTTAACAATGTGAAAATAGATGAACACAATGCGTTGGATCACTTGTGAACTTTCATCTAAAATTTGTTTATTCTAAAGATTAGATTACAAGCACCAACGGACCATTGGCCTACCGGTATCAGGCCCTTACTTCCCAAAGGGAGGTCAGGGGTTCAAGCCTCAGTGAGGCATGTGTGTGTATCAATTAGGAAAAAAAGAAGAAGATTAGATTACAAGCTTTAATGTATGAAATTGAAATATAGAAGAAGACACCAGTTCATAATTATGTAAGGTGTTATGTGGATCACAAATCCACATGTTTTAGGCAATAATGGTAGGTAAATTAGCCTCATAACTCAAATAGAATTTGTAGTTCGATCTGAGGCTCTCTCACTAAAAATACAATACTAACTGAAAGATGAATGGAGGGCCTTTGAGTTCTATCTGAGGCTCTCTCATTCCAAAATATAGTACTAGCCCTTTTTATGGATAATTTATAAATTTTATACTAAATTGTGCTCTTCAACTCTCTATGAGAGGGAAACTTTCTATTGGTTGCTGTCCCAGTGCTACCTTAGATTGTTACTTCTTCAATCCTTCTACATCATGTCCTTGGCCATTATTGAAAGATGGCTTGAATTACCAGCCTGTAGCTTACTTCTAGTCGCATTGGCTGAATGAAGGTCATACACTTTCTGAATGACCTCATACCATTCTTTCGAGGTTGAGAAAGTTTTGCATAGATTATTGAGATTGTTGTGGAAAGTGCTTAGGCTATGCTGTTACAAACAGTTTTGTACAAAAGGAGTCAGTTTTAGAAGGTTTTGTGTGGTTTGTGTGAATTGAGGGTCTGAAGTAGGACCCTCACCTTTTCTTTTCTTTGTTCTCTCTACTTGGTGGATCCTCACCTAATATATAGAAATATTTAGTGATATGATATGCACATGTATAATAGTAGTGGAATGGGGGAGAAACAAGTCTTTGAGAGGTTTTTTGGATGAGTCAAGAGATACAGTATTTTGTTTATTTTCTATTTGAAATTAAGTGATCTTAAAAGAAGCAGAAGGAAAGAAGTAACAGATTAAAGATTGAAGTTGAGAATGTACACTTTGATTGCCATCAACTGATTTTTTTATTAACTTTCATGCATGCGTTATACTTTCGTAATCTTCGATATTATTGGAAGGCTAAGATATTATTGTGCCACTAAAATTGGAAGTTGTTGCACCCTTCAATATATTTAAATATGGATCGGAGGATGATACTTTCCATTTAATTTGTAATTTCCTACCAGAATTTTATCATAAATTGTGCAACTGGAAGTTACCTGCAAGCATTCGTTCCATGAATATTTCACCATTTTAATTTCTTTTTGTTGAAAGTGTTGTTTTCTAAGATTTTTTTTTCCATTGGCAAGAAATTCATGAGCCCATTTGCCCCTAGGACTTGGACCCTCATCATCCACTTTGGGAGGTAGAGGAGATCAGTCACTTGCATATTCACATAAGAAAGTAAATATATTATATACATGCATATGAAACTATATGTGTTTTTAGAATTAGTCTAATCTGTATGGATAAAATATATTACCATATGTCATTTAAACAATCACTTATGTAATAGTCATTTTATATTTCCTTTCTTTTGAGTTTGGGAATATTATGCCTTCTTATTCATACAGCATTATAAGAAAATAATGTGATGTCTGGATGCTTTCTGATACTGAATTTCTTACTTTCTGGGCAGCAGTCATTCAGACAGTAACCTAGCTGAATTGGAAAATATGAAAATCAGGGAAGATGATCGGGCTGCTATGCTGGAAGGAGGCCTCACAAGATCAGCATCCACAAGGCTCTATGCTTCATCAATTAAAGGAAACTTAATTAGGTGGTTTACTGTTTGATGTGCTGTATTTCAGTGGAGTTTCATATTCATTGTTTCCGTAGAAGTCTTTCTTATGTTCTCGACCTCTTGAATTTCAAGGTTTCTAATAATGGACGACTCCTTTTTGCTAGAGAATCGGGCAACTTTGAGAGCAATGTGAGTTGTGTTATTGCATTGGCGATGATAATAAATATTTGACAGCTCTTCATTCCTTTGTATATGTACTGATAAAATATTATGTAGGTCTGAGTTTGGGGCGATTCTGGTATATTTCTATATATGTGACCGCACAGATTTACTTGCAGACTCTACTAAGGTGCTTTCCTTTTCTGGGTTTTGTTTCACAGTCACATTTATGACTTTATTTTGCAATGGTTTTGCTCTGAAACACTCCTCTTGACTTATCTATTTATTTTTTATTTGTTCCTGGCAAGTTTTTAATTTAACTATAATAATGCGTATGATTATGTTAAATGTGCTGGAGTAGTATATTTGTAAGCAGTTATTGTATGTTGCTTTCAATCGCACTTTTGCAATAAGAGATGCACTTTTACAAGCTTGGGGATGGAATGCAAATTGAACAATAGAGTTTGGGTATTCATAATTCCATGTAACCAACATATGCTGTGTTATGTTTGCCCAAATATATATATATATATATATATATATATATATATATATGTATAAATGTTGCCTTATCTGTCTGTATGCAATTCAAAAAGTTATCCCTTAGTTGGACCAGGTTATCTATTAATATTTTGAATGGATATCTTATTTCCATGATTAGTATTGTGATAGAATAGAATAACAGAGCACTCTCCAGCCTTTTAAGGCAGTTATCTTCCTGATTTCTGTGTTGATTTTGATCAATTTTATTTATTATTATTATTTTTGACAGAAATACAATCGCGATCTTTTCCTATTCCTCTACATTCTTCTTGTCATAGTTTCGGCATTGACTTCTCTCAAGAAACATCATGACAAGTCAACATTTTCTGGAAAATCCATACTTTACCTTAATCGGCATCAGACAGAGGAGTGGAAAGGATGGATGCAGGCAAGTATATTTTTTAAAATTCCTTATTTCTAACTTCTTATTGCTTCAGCTTAGTTAAAGAAAAATGTATTGTACACACTCTCTGTAGCATTTTCTTCGACTCATGTTGAGCTACAATACTTTTTTTTTTTAAGCAGATATTGTTTTAGTTGCACTATTCAGCATCATCTGATGGAAGACTAGTATAGTTATTTCTTGACTTCTGATAATATTATTTTGACAGGATGTATTTTTGAATCAGTTTTTCTCTGCAATTTTTATAAAGTCATCATGTATTGGAAAGCCGAGATGTGTTGTCATATGATTTTTGTTGTCACTCATTAGATTCAGATCGAAACCTGCAAAAGTTATGCCTATACATTACAATTTTCAACTCTGTGTTGGATGTTAGATATTTTCCATGTCTGCTGCTATGTTCAATTTATAAAGTACCCTTATATACATTGTGTGGGACAAGCAATTGCAAGTACTTTTATAAGGCTGTGTTTCCTGCTGTATTGTCAACAGGTCCTCTTTTTAATGTATCATTACTTTGCTGCAACGGAGTTGTACAATGCAATACGGGTTTTTATAGCTGCATATGTTTGGATGACTGGATTTGGAAACTTTTCCTATTATTACATTCGAAAGGATTTTAGCGTTGCTAGGTTTGCTCAGGTAACATCATTGAATTTGGATCATATTGTTATTTCATATAAGACATTCCCTGGCAACTTTTAGTTTTCTTTCCATTTTAATGACTTAAGATGTTTTTATATCTTTATTGTCCTTTTTATGCAGATGATGTGGCGGCTAAATTTTTTAGTGGCATTTTGTTGCATTGTTCTTAAGAACGACTATATGTTGTACTATATCTGCCCAATGCACACGCTTTTCACTGTTATGGTTTATGGAGCCCTTGGAATTCTCAACAAGTATAATGAGATAAGATCAGTGATGGCTGCAAAGATTTTCACTTGCTTTCTTGTGGTTATTGCAATTTGGGAAATTCCTGGAACGTTTGACATTTTATGGGCCCCTTTGGCATTCCTGTTAGGTTTGTAATGGACCTAACTTTTTACACTAAGTATCTTATGTGTGCTTCTAATCTTGAACTTGACAAATTTAATCTGGAGCTCAACTGGGTCTCCACACATTGTAAGGTTATTCTGGATCCAACTATAAGTTGACTTAGTATATTTTGAGGATGGTCAATTGCCAGTTCCAAGTTGTAGACTAGGGTCCTTTGATCTCATGAATGGTGAGCACGTGTCCTTGAAATGCCCTTCTAATTAATTTATTTATTTTTCTGTTTCTTTAGCTACAATTTATTCCTGAAAAGATATAAAGTCCATATGATTTTAAAGGTATTATATGATATCATGAGGTTAAAAATGTTTGTAAATAATTACTATATTGAATTGAATTTTCTTGGGGTGATCCCGCAAATGTCCAAGTTGAGCTGGGTTTTCAAATTTTCAAAGTGCATGTATACCTGCTGGCATGAGCACCTGAGAAATTGTTATTCACAATGGCAGGGTACACCGATCCTTTAAAGCCAGATCTCCCTCGATTACATGAATGGCATTTCAGATCTGGGCTTGATCGCTATATATGGATTATCGGGATGATATATGCTTATTTTCACCCCAATGTAATTTTTTGAAAGTTATTTTACTGTTTTTGTTGCTTATTGGTTGTGCCAACTGCTAAAATTTATATTTTTTTGTAATATTAGGTTGAGAAGTGGATGGAGAAATTGGAGGAATCTGAAACCAGGCGGCGACGCATAATCAAAACGTGCGTTGTCCTGGTTTCCTCATCTGTGAGTTGCATATCTTCTGTGATTGCAGTGTGCTTGTATCCGTGCCAGTTTCTTCTGATTGGACTATCAATAATTGTATGTTGTTTATCCTTTTTAGGTTGGGTATTTGTGGTATGAATTTATATACAAGCTGGACAAGGTTACATACAACAAGTTCCATCCCTACACATCATGGATACCTATCACGTGAGCATTAAGATTTCTTATTTTAATCTTTGTTTATTATTTTGTTTGATTTCTAACCATCATTTTTATTTTATTTTTTCTGAAAATTTATGCAAGGAGTCTGATAACATGGCATGTGCAGCATTCTGTCCCATAGAAAGTTCTTATTTAGTACTCTCACCTTTTGCTTGCTTTACTTTAATTTCAGTGTTTGCATTTGCTTGCGGAATTTCACTCAGCAATTACGGAGTTTCTCATTGACTCTCTTTGCGTAAGATTTCCTTTGACCTGTCCGGTTAAAGCTATATGACCATGAAGCACCTAACAAATTTTTTTTTTTTTTTTTTTTTTCAGAATTATTATTCTTTTTAAAGCTTATTAGGATATTTCTAACAGTATAAACTACTCTGTGCTACTAGGTGGCTCGGCAAGGTCACTTTGGAGACCTATATTTCCCAGTTCCACATCTGGCTGAGGTGTGCAAAGTTCATCATTTTTCTCATCTACTCTTTGCCGCATTTATATTATAGTATAGTAATAAAGTAAGAAGGGTAAGTGAATGAAATGCTCATGTTATATTTAAGCTGTATAATGTTTATTTTTATTTATTTATTAAATTTAGATATTTCTTTTTTAAAACTTTTAGACACACGATATATTCTCTTTGGATGCAAATAACTTCTACACCAAAAGTATTGACATGCTAATATCTGCTTTATTACTAGTTAAGCTCAAGATCATTTATCACATTCTTATTAGTGAAAATATGTGAGGAACAAAGGTTTTATTTCTTTCATCTGATTAGTGTTTAAAACCAAGGTTGATATTTTACTTCTTGGCATGTCTGTGCAGATCAAGTGTACCTAACGGACAGCCTAAGTGGCTTCTCTCTCTTATCCCAGAATATCCTATGCTCAACTTCATGCTCACAACTGCGATTTATATCTTGGTGAGCAACTCTTTTTTATTCAATCTTCGAAATTTAAAGAGCTAAAGGTACTCAAGGACACTAATTTTTTTTTTTTTTTGCATTATGTTACCATCTTTGGCTTGCCTCCGCAGATATCCCATAGGCTCTTTGAACTAACCAACTCACTTAAGGCACTTTTTATACCTACAAGAGACAACAGGCGGTTGCTATACAATATTCTTGCCGGGACTGCAATTTCAGTCAGTTTGTATTGCATCTCATGCATTCTTGTTCTGATCTCTTACTAACCAGTAAGCCTTCGTTTTCGACTTTTGGATTTTTTGCGTATTGCGTGTATATTGCACACTCACACACACAGTTCGTGGTTCCTGGTTATCCTTTTATAATGACAATTGCCCCATATATGCAGTTTTCTTACTTCTATCCTATCAATGGATCAACTGTGGTAGAACGATGGCAAGGAATTGGATTTTGGATGCCAATAATGATGTATGGTGCATCTGCAGTTTCAGTTATATATGTATATATATACATAGACACACACACACATATATCCTGATTCATTTTATATGTTAACGACCACTACTTTATACGACCTATTCTTACAGGCCTGACAAATCAGAGGCTTCTTAACGATTGTTAAAAAGAGATTTTCCCGTTAGTCATACAAAAGGAATGTAGACAGAGTAAAGTAATAGGAATTGGAAGGTTTTTCTTGAGAATTCTTCATGGAAGCTGGTGTTGCCTACAATAGTGAGGAAACACACTCTCCATTGCTGCAAAATGACGTTCTATCTGCTTCGGGAAGTTCGGCGGAGGACAAAGATGGCAGCTGGATTAGGATCTTTTTTGTAGTACTGTAAAGTGATACATCATTTCTCTCTCTCATTAATATCCTTTCGTTGTTAATCAATGATGAGAAAATGTAATCATACATTTAGCGGAAAAAAACAATGAAGAAAATGTAGTCATACGTGAGATCAATATGTTTTGTGTGTAAATTCTGCAAGTTTGCACTTTGTTATGTTTAAACTTTTTTAGCAATTGGTAGTTCAATAAATCTCAAGTAATGGTCCCACAGAGTTGAAGAATAAACATTTTTACCTTCATGCCGAGTTTTAATTAAAGAGTGGCATTTATGTATATACTAAGTCACACAATTGTTTTGCAAATGGTGCCAGTCTCTCTCCATGCGTGCTCACACTCGCGTTCTCATTCTGTATGACTAAGATTTTGCCGTTTTAGCTCTTACATTCATTTTCGCTGCGTGACTTGGTGTATATTGCTACTCTTGTAGCCTTGTGGAACAGTGAAAAATTAGCTCAGTCAATTACAATTCTGGACTTCAGCAAAATCTAAAAATCCAGACCATATTGAACTCGTATGAATCAAGGATGGAAACCAAAGTTCTTCCATATTGAACTCGTATGAGCCAAGGATGGAAACCAAAGTTCTTCATCATTATTATCCTTGCCTTAACTTTATTACATATGGACGGTTCAGCCATTCTCTTTTTTCATATTTTTAATTGAGGATTGCTAATTGCAGTAATCCTTGGACAGTTGCAGATGTGATTGGTGGAAAAAGTAAGTATAATTAATACACTCTCCTATTTTTTTGAAGCATTAAAATCTTAATTTTATAAGACAATATTACCCTCTTTTGTTTATTGAATATTATTCTCCCCTCCTTCAATTGTGTCTCTATATATATAACATATATATGTATATAGTTAATATTCTGTCAATGCATTATTTCCTTCTTTTTTTTATTATATCAAAATCAATCATTTATCTTTGTTATATATCATCTATAATTATCTATCACTCTTTAAACCATCTTACTATATCTAAAGTGTGATTCCTATTACCACTAAACTTCTCTCTTTTTGCTTTATTAAATCATTCATTTCTATAATCTAAAAATAACAAAAACTCAATTATACAATTTTACTTCAACTAAAATTCAATAAGTGTGATTATCCCATCGCCACTATACTTCTCTCTCCCTTTCTTTCTTTACTAAATCATTCACTTCTATCTTTTATAAAGAAACTAAAACTCAATTATACAATTTTACGTCAAAGAAAATTTAATTTTATAATTTACTTCTATTAAAATTTACATTTATGAAAATTCACATCTAAAGTATAAATAAATAATATTTAATATATGCAAAATTCATCATCAATAAAAAGACTACTGAAAAAACGAAGAAGGAAATAATGAATCCACCTGTTTAAAGACAATTCAAACGAAAAAAAAAAAAAAGATTTAGCTATATACGGTATTAGTCAATAAACCAAAGAGAGTAATATTGTCTTATAAAATAAGATTTCAATGCTCCATAAAAGTAAAAACACTGTATTAATTATAATTACCTTTTTAACCAATCATATACGGCGACTGCAATTAGCAGTCCTCTTTTTAATTATATACTAGGTCTTCTCTTAAATGTAATTTTTTAATTGCATAATTTAAATATATCTTTAGACAATAGGCTCTTACAACTCCAGGAACATTTGTCCCGAATAGAAAAACAATGATAAATTTGTTTTCACAATGAATTTTCCAAAATAATCTGAATTCCCTTCTCAGAACCTCATCATCAATATTATTCTGGTAAAAAAAAAAAGAAAAAAAAGAAAAAAACAATGAATTTAAGCACAGTGCCTGTCAGGTGGTGTCCTACCGAGGGGCCATATTATCGTTCTTGCCGAAAATGGTACAGGACATCATTAAACTCCTAGAACTAGTCTAGAAAAGGACATTCAAGCCGACACTATTTAAAGGGGTATTTGATCACCCATTTTGACCTCCTTGTATTAACCAACCACCATAAGCAATACTGTCTTACTTCACATACCTCATGCCAATGCCCTATTTTTAGAAACTGCTTGTCCATCACAAACCTTATCTAGATGTAAGCGTTGAATTCACTACTATGAGGAAGTTCTCTAAAAGGCCATTTTCCACTTTTTTTTAACTGTCAACAAAATCTGAAGTCATGAAGTAACAATAATTGTCATAGACGCAGTGTCTGTGAGTAGATGTAACCTTAATGCTTCTAATGGTATCATTTCCATAAAACACACATGTAAGACTGCATAATGATGCTGACTCAAACTCTATTGCTTAAAACTATAGATTCTACACTCCTCTTCTAAACAACCAAGCTCAAAAAAATTCCTTTCTAGACTCATCTTCTTAAGCAACTATGCTCAAAATGTGCTTAGTGCTTCTCAATTAAGTTTCATCAAAGCAAGAATGTCCATATCCGAATAGTGTCACAACCCGCTAAGTTATGTAGATATTATTTGGCAACCAACCTCCCTCCAAGTGATGTAAGACGTCACAATCACTCCTTCTTGGGACCCACGTCCTCGTTGGTTTGACTGGGCTTGCGCACGCTCCCCTTTCCGGCTAGAGATTGACTTTGATATCATTTGTCACGCTCCGCCCCGCTATGCAGATATTGTCTGCTTTACGCATTATTCGTGCTCATGATTTTCAAAATGCGTTTACACAGTTAAGAGGCATCTACACATATAAGTGCCAACAACCTCCCCCAAGGCAATGTGGAATGTCACAGTCCCTATTTTCGACGCCGTATTGCAAGAATGATCACAACATTCCCTTTTGTTCTGTGAATCGTTGCCAGAATTGGGTTATCCTCCTCACGATTTTCCCTTTGAAAGTGAAAATCCTAAATACGCTACGATATCCTGGTAGCTATCGATAACACTCTCCATTTACTGATAAATTAACCTCAGAGGTATTGAACTTAAAAAGGATAGGAAAATCTCTTCCATGTATAACTTCTCCACAATTCAAAAGAAATAGAGTTGCAATCTAATGATTGACATGAATGTTCATAACAATCACCTGGTAGATGTATTATTAGAATCTAAATAAAAAATTAATCTGTTTACTATCATATGATCATGAAAAATGACAAGAGCATTGTGTTGCTGCACCCTAATATCAGTTATTACATGGCACCTCCTTGCTATCAACTCATAAATATTCTAGTCATCAAAGTCTGCATGCTTGCAAACATTCTCCATCCAAACCACAAACTCTTTAGAAAAATGAAAAGATAACATATTCAAATCAACTGTGTACAATATGACTAAAATGATGCTAGAGGACCTTGTGGGACCCACCAATTTTGGCATGCCTATAAGCTAGGGGCTCCTTGATGTCCATATCCCACATAAAATTCAATGGTTAGGAGCAATAATGACATTAATATGTATGTCTCACCTGCCTGTGGAAATACTGATGAGCCAAAAGAGAAGAAAATTGAATGAGAAACCTTTGGATGGATGATGCTGACTGAAAGATTGTGATGCAACCTGGCCAGGTATTTGTTTTTTCTATCCATGGGTGAATGAAGCAATAGTACTAGGGCTTTAAATCAGTGACTTGACACGTGCTAATGGCACATTTTACAATCATTTAAAAAATATCTCACCAACTGCTAGAGTTGCATATTAATGGTACCTTCTTCAAGCATTGGCTGTGTAGCAAATAGAGTTCTACATCCTTGAAATGGCAGAAGCTCAAGAACTGCAACTACACATCATAGGTAAGTCAGTTTCTCAGATTTCGAGTGAATTGGGTGGGAAAAAGGAAAAAGAAAACAGAATTCGAATTTTCTCTTTCCTTACTAGATTCCTTGCATCATTCATGCATTAATAAGAAACGATTTAAAAAAAAAAAAAAAAAACCGAGCTCATGTGATTGTAGCAGAAGGTTCCTTCTATTCCTTATAACTTATATTCTAAATAATGCCAAGTGATGGATGTTCTCTAGTACTGGTCAACAGCAGAACTACATCAAGTCCAATATCTTCAAATTTTCTGTGCAGTACTAAAAACTTTATTTTTTTTTTGAATGTTAGTATTAAAAACTTCCTTAGGAGAGCTCTTACAGGTCTTCTAATTTATTGGGTTTTGCATATTTTATTCGTTTTCCTTTCTTTTATTTTTGTACTTTTTTAGATTTGATCCCAAGTTTCTATTACCTATATTGTTTTATCGGATAATAAGCTTATAAGCTTGGTTTTACTTCACTGTTGATAAACAAAAGAAGACTTCTATCGCCAAGTTTCACTTGGATGTAGCCCCCTTCTTTTGGGGTGTTAAGCAGTGTCAAACCAAAATACCCAACAAGCATTAGCTACCCCTAAAAAGGAGGTGATCCAGCCACACCTTCCAGTACGGCTACCTTGTTACGACTCCACGCAAGTCACTAGCCCTGCCTCACCAAAAAGCTAGTGGTCATCTTTGGAGTATTGCGCTCTGGTTCCAAATGACCTTTTGCAATTTCAGAAACTGAAAATGGGTTTTCAATCATTCATGGGAATGACTGAAATTATGTAGTCGGGAAAGCATTTGAAAACTGAGAGTATATAAAACCACAATATACCTAGATTTTAAAGGAATTTATGGCAACATGTCCAGAAAATAAATTTAAGTAGGTTAAAAAAAATTAGTAGTGTAGAGTAAAAATTTACCAGTGTTGAACTAACTTTATCCTCATTTTTTCCTAATCCTTTTCTTGGTACATTAGTTTTTCAATGTTGATCTTCCTAGACGTGTTGTTTTACCAGTTCAAGAGGCCAAAGAAGCAGACTCGACCCAAAATGCGAATGTCAATTTCCAATCAACAGGCCGTCGGTCTTGTCAATATAAGTGGTGGCTCAAGATAGCCATCTATGCAAATTTTCTCCTCTCCGGTCAGTCAGTTGCTACACTCCTGGGAAGACTCTACTTTGAAAAAGGCAGAAAGAGCAAATGGATAGCAACACTTGTGCAACCTGTAGGCTTCCCAATACTCCTTCCCTTCCTCTTCATCATACCAACCAAAAATCAAAATGCAGACAACAACCATACAAAATCACCCTCTGCATTAATCCTTGCATCAGTTTATTTATTCCTTGGTATATTCCTAGCAGCAGATGCCATGTTGTTCTCAATAGGCCTCCAATATCTTCCGGTTTCTACTTTTTCTCTCATCTGTGCAAGCCAGTTGGGCTTCAATGCATTTTTCTCCTTCTTCC